GGCTGTGTAAATCATGATGGAATTCCCGCAAATTCTAAAGATAAAAGGAAGAAGTCCTTTACTACTTCTGTTTAATAATTCAGCTCAGTGGAGTGAGCAAATAGGATCCAAGTCCATTGCATGAAATTCTCACAGAATTAATGAAACACTACATTAAAAATGGTTCAGCTGAGAATGAGAATTAGGTGTCTGTCTTTCTGTGGCTGATATTTTACTGTTGTTTCAGAAACTGGAAATTATCAATAAGCAATATGAGCAGCAACAAAGTTATAGAAGAGGATTTGTGTTGTTTAACTGAGATTTCCCTCTTCCTTCTCTAGCTCTTCCTCTTTCCCATCCTCCTTTCCCTTCTATATTCAGCAGTTGCTTACATGCAAGTCTTTGTTCATGTGAGCTTTCATTTCATGGGAATCTGAATGGGACCATTTGAGGTTAATTCACTATAGGGATAGGACTGTTAAAATTACTTTCTAAACAATTTTAAAAAATGTTAATAGTGGGCTTTAGCACATTTCCATATATGAAATACACTGAACTTTATTAACGGAACAAAAGCCACTTTCCAAAGAACATTCATTTTTTCTAATAAAATAATTTCTTACTATTAAACAACACATACTATACCATAAGATTTAGAGTTCTTGTGTTTATTATCACATACAATAAAATATTTCTTCCTTGGATGAAATATGTTCAGTGTGCACACACACTCCACATTATCACACACACACTTGCACAAACCCACTCTCCACTGTGTACATATACACTCATACCTATATACACTGGCAAGGACTTAAAAGTTCACCTGTGTCTTAGTTAGGATTTCTATTGCTGTGAAGAGACTTGACCCATGACAACTCTTATAAAGAAAAACATTTAATGGGGTGGCTTCAGTTTCAGAGGTTTAGTCCATTATCATCATGGTGGGACATGGCAGTTTGCAGGCAGACAAGGTGCTGGAGCTGAGAGTTCTACATCTTGTTTGGCAGGCAACAGGAAGTGAACTGAGATACTAGGTGTGGCTTGAGCATATATGAGAACACAAAGGTCCTTGTGTCCACAGATCACCAGGGAAATTAGGTATGTTAACCATGTAGGGTTATCTTCTCAGAGGAGGAAATGAATATCTGTTTTCTACCCAGAGGGCTGCGAGCAGATGTTGTTAATGACCTGGTGACCTTTGCTATCTGTAGAGCCAAACCTCACCCAAATGCCCAGATTCTCCCTCCCTAGACTTTTATATTTGGTTTGTTTCTCAGTCAGTGAAAACCATCCTTAGGGGGGATATCACATGCACTTTATAGACTGACCTCTACACTTTCTCAGTCAGAGATCACACGGTATCCTAGGCCTTTATGTTGCAGAACCCATCTTCATGGTCACATGTAACTTTGAGTTGACTTTGGATGTAATTATGCCTTCTTGTGAACCGGGGATTGTGTTAAACCAGAAGCTTTTTTCCATAACTGTAATGTATTTAACTATGCTTACAATAAACTGCCCAGTGTCAGACTCTCTGAAGGTTTCAACCAGCACTGACTAAGAAAGGCTGAACTGAATTTTCCTTTTTTCCTCTCTCCATTTCTTTCCTCTGATGTTTGCAGGGACTCCCACAGCTATCTAATATCCCACTTAACATTGGTTAGAGAATGAACAAATCATCTTCATCATGACCCCTAACTTTTCACATAATTGCATTAATTATTCTCAAGGTCATATTTGCACTGCAGTTGTTTTACCTTAACAACATTGGTACTGGAGATGAGATAAATTATGATTTGGGGAGATGGCTCTGTGACTAAATTGCTTGAGTTCATATCCCCAGAATCCACATACAAGCAAAGAGTGCTGGTGAATTCATGTAGTCACAATGCTTGGGAACAGAGACAGGAGGATCTTGGGGGCCTGCTGACCAGCCAATATAGCTCAAACAGATAACTCTAGTTTCAGTGAAAGAAACACAAAAACTAGTGCCAAGTGTGAGATATACTGTTGTGGGATATATGATCACACTGTGGGAAGATGTGTCTCTATCCTTCCTTGTCTGTCTAAGGCACTTTCTGATTGGTTTAATGAAGAGCTGAACAGCCAATAGCTAGGCAAGAGAGGATAGGCTGGACTTCCAGGCAGAGATGGGAACTCTGGGAAGGAATTGGAAGTGAGAGGTCCACCAGCAAAAGGAGAGATAATGAGCCACATGGCAGATTGCAGATTAATATAAAAAGTTAATTTAACTTTTAAGAGTTAGTTGGGAACAAGCCTAAGCTAAGATCAAGCTTTCATACTTAATAAGAAGTCTCCATGTCATTATCTGGGAACTGACAGTCCAAAGAAAGTCCATTTACAATATAATCTGCCAAGTTTTTGGATAGAGGGTGTGTAACCCCAGAGATCTACCCAAGTAATACAAACTATGTTCCTGGTTACCCACTAGAACTAGATAGTAAGATCTTATTGTGGAAGACACAATAAGGCATGCTTTGGTTATAAGGCATGGGGAAATCCAACTGGCATTGATCTGGAAGCTTCCTGTCCTGCTTGTTAACTTTCACACTGCCACAAGGTGTTTTGCAGGCTACAGGGAGAGAAAAACCATCACCAGTCTGACCCAGCTGTGAACTGTACAAGCTTCAGTAATGACTGGTTTGGCAAGATCTGCCTATTGGCAAAATAGTGACATGGCTGCTATGGAGGTAAGCAACAGATTTCTAGTAGGATTTAAGGCTTTCCTCAGAGGTGGAGACTCATGCTTCATATTGTAAGCCTAGCCAAAAACTCATGGCTGGGATGGTCATAGATGCTGGTGAGAACCCATTATTATTATTTTGCTAAAGAGACTATTATCACACTGTCTTCTGAATACTTACCTTTATACCCATAGTGCAACTCTCAACCCTTGTCATAGGAGCTGCTTTTTATGGCAGGATGAGTTAACATAGAGACTCACAGCTTGTTAAAGTACAGAGAATATGAGACTGTGGGGTGCTCATCCCTAAACGGGACAGCTAATCATAACCTTAATCCCTAGGCTTGGGGAACATCATGGAAAAGATGGCAGACAGATGTTAAGATCCAGACTTTGGGAATGATGGCTGGAAAATAACGTCTTCTGGACATGATAAGAATCATTGCACTCATTGAACTCACAGCAGTGTTGGTTGTCTGTATGAGCTACTCAAGATTAAACCAGTCAGCACTCCAGCTAGAAGAGTAATGGAGGTCATAAGGCTCCACTCCTAGCCGAGGAGCTCTTAACAGTTGGTAATTACTGATAGAGAGACAGTTGTTTCTTTTCAGTGGTGTAGTACAGAGTAGGTTGCCCAGTAGATGGTATCCCACACCTATCAGCATATGGGCAGCAGTAATTCAGCTCCGTGGAGTGTGGGAGGGAGGAAGGGAGAGGAGGAGAAAGAGAAACAGAGAGAGAAAACAAGAGAGAGATTGTCTTGGGGGTTATCTGGGAGTTGTTGAAGGGGGACCTAGGGGTGTATATGACCTAATTACACTGTATTCATGTATGAAATTATCAAAGAATTTAAAAAAATTTAAAAATGAGGTAGAAAAGTGAGCATATATCTCTACAAGCATCTATGTGGGCAAGCATATACAACATGTGTCCACTTATATGCATACAATGAATAAATAAGTAAAATAAAAATAGAAATAAGTTGTCTGGCTTATGGAGCATTTAACTTAACCATGCCCAGGGCATCACAGAAGGCATATATACTGGAGTAGCAGTCCTTGATGTTTTAAGAGGAAAAGATCTTTTGCTGAGCCAGTCTGCCCATCACCAACTAAATGTGCCAAGTCCGCTTTGCCTGTGAACAATTGTGAACGTATGTATCACTGAGTACATACATTAAAAGGGAAAGAAATGGAGAAACTAAACATTCATACTTAATTTCAATGCTTAGCAGTACCACATAAGTCTTCAATAATCCAAACCACAATGGATGGATTGTTTCTAAATTAAAACTGGAACCAGTGTCAGCTCCTGATAGTTTTGCATTGACAATGTTCTGCTATAGAATTCACTTAGTGTTTAATAGCTCAGAACAATGCAAGAAAACATTAGATGACAAAAACAGCAAGATATTTTTCTATTCTAAATTCAATTCAAACAGAAAGACAAAAAGACTGAACAAATTGATGCCATTTAGAGCGTGTGTTCTACTTGGCACCCATCCTTTATGCTAGGTGAATAGATGAGGAATGAAGGTACATGACCACATGTGGCCCAACAGTGAGAGTTAAAGCTAATGTACATTCCAGCTCACTATGCGGATGAATATTTCCAAACACACAGCCATTTGATGTTGGAAATGGCTGTTAAGAGGCACAAGTAGAAGCAGGTTATAAATATGCATGAATGTATCAAACAGGATTCAGATTCTTGGGCCAGAGTAGGGCTTTATGGTCTTGGAGATGCCTGCTAACCCTCAGACTCTTGGGCCAGAGTAGGGCTTTATGGTCTTGGAGATGCCTGCTAATCCTCTGGCTCTTGGGCACCAACATAGACCCTTCTCAATTCTGGGGCATTACTTAAGCTAAAATCAGCAGGATTTTAATTCTCTGATAAAATTTTGTGAACACCTTTTCAAAGCAAAGGGGGAATATTTTACTTTCTACTTTAACTCAAAATGTGCTTAACACACACATACACACACACACACACACACACACACACACACACACACACACACCACCCATTTGGCTAGATATATTTATCTTGCTTTAGTTGAATTGACCACACTTTGCTACAGATTCTTTTCCATTTCTATTTTCCCTCAAAGCTCATGGCTCTAAGACTATATCCAAAATGATTTTCCTTACAAAGAAAGGCTTTATTATTATCTTGTTCATAGGGAAGGAATAAAGCATTCAATAAGGAATTAACTACACTGCCCCTCATAGTACTGTATGTAATCACAGAAAATTATCTTTATGCCCTATAAATCCAGTGTCTGTTTTAATCACAGAGCAGTTTCGCTACTCACCACAAACGAATAATAAATTTTGAATCCAGGTTTTGCCACAAAGTAGTCGTCGGATTTGAATGTGATTTTAATCTGGTTTGTTTTTGACGTTATCCTTGGAGGGACTTCCTTGTGGCCACACCACCTTCCTCTAACTACAGTGCTGGTTTCAGAGATATCTTCAACTTCCACAAAATCATACCTAGAAGCAATGTGATCCCATTAATGTTTTTACTAAAGTTGATTTTAGTTCCTGACAAATCAGGATTCACACTTGATTTCTAACTAACTGAACTAACTAACTGAAACCTGTAGAAATGTGAAAAACCAAAAGCTAGTTTGTGGAATGTTTGGCAAACTTGAAATTCAAGAACCTACCTGGAGAGAACCCTGATTTACTCCGTTATGACAGCTGCAACGTCTTATATAATTGAAAAGAACTTTCAGTATATGAAGCTTAGAACATTTTCTGGGAAAAAATAAGTAGCTGTAATCTGTTAACATATTTTAGAGGTAGATTGAGTTACATGTCCAAATATTCACCATACGAAGCTTGCAAACCACTTCTCATTTTGAATCAATTTGCCCCACTCAATGCTTCTTTGAGAAGTACATGATAGACATCTCCATAGATCAAGGGGTCTCTTTTCTTTAAGTATCTTTTAGAAAGACCACATGATAACACATGACTTTTTTTCAGAAAGGAAAGCATATAATGTTAAGTGGCTATATGTGTTAGTAACTACTGGTTGATTGCAACAGGGGTTCAATGAGTTCTACATTAACACAGGGTTACTCTCAGCACTAGTCACAGAAATAGAGAATCCCAGGACAATACAGTAGAGTGCAGATCCATTAATCTTCTGTGTACCCATTGATCCTGTATTTCTTCTACCCATCCCAGCTTATGCTTCTTCAGTGGCATACCTACATTCTCTATGGAGTGCTGTGGGATGGTCTGTATGTCAAATGTGTTGCTGATTGGTCAATGAATAAATCACTGATTGGTCAGTGGCCAGGCAGGAAGTATAGGCGGGACTAACAGAGAGGAGAATTGAGAGAACAGGAAGCTGGGTGAGGGAGACACTGCCAGCCGCTATGATGAAAAACAGCATGTGAAGATACTGGTAAGCCACGAGCCATGTGGCAAGGTATAGATTAATAGAAATGGATTAGTTTAAGCTGTAAGAACAGTTAGCAAGAAGTCTGCCACAGCCATACAGTTTGTAACCAATATAAGTCTCTGTGTTTACTTGGTCGGGTCTGAGTGGCTGTGGGACTGGCGGGTGAGAGAGATTTGTCCTGACTGTGGGCCAGGCAGGAAAACTCTAGCTACAATGGAGCATTTATTCTATTCTAGGACCACTCAAGTCTTGTACCATTCTACAAGATCCATTAAATAATCTGTCTTCCAGTTGGTCAAAATTTTCACTCCTTATCTCTACCTTCACCTAAATGACTTTAGGTGTTAAAGTCACAAGCAAGTGATACACTTTAGTGAACGGGGCACTCATCTTATTTGTTTATTTATTTTCTCATTAGGGTTACTAGAAGGAAGCAGCATAAGAAACATCAGGTCCAAATGTGCAGAAAACCACCTGGAATCATTGCCTTTACCCAGCTTTGCAGTATTTTCACTGCACTGGGAAGGACGATCTAATGAGCAGCTAAAAATAATATGCTGACCAAATATTCCTGACAGTGATTTATGAGGCCCTTATGTCCTTTGCCTCAGTTTCTCTGTAGGCAAAATAAGAAGTTTATACAATTTTACCAGCTAGATGCCTACTGAGTATTGTGTAAATTAATTATTTAATGTTTATATGGCTTTTGGAAGGTGAAAAGCACTGAGAAAGAGTCATTATTCAAGCGATAAAGTATTGCAGTGTATGCATCAGCAAGGTTATGAGGCAGATGGTAAGAAATCAATTGCATTTTATTTTATATATGATATGTGTAAATCATATTTACTGCACAAACATGAATCTAGTTGAAAGATTTTTAATAACACTAGGTCACTTTTATTTTAAAAACTTCAATGTAATTTTAAGCTGAATCCCAGTGGAGCACACATCCCAGGCTAGCGGGGAGGAAAGGCTAGGCTCTGTTTTATCTCCATCATTCTCTTAGCGTTCTACCTCATCCTGGGAAATCTGAGAAGCAGCATGAGCTGATGGAGGGTCGAGAAAACTTACCACCCTAACACTTGTTCGAATATGGTCTAGGATCAAAATCCCAGTTCATCAGTGGCTTCCTCTTTGTGATGAGAAAACAGACATCTGGTCTTTGTCTTTGGCTCTCACCTACCCGCCCTCCCTGCGGTTTCCAAGCGACAGAGCGAGAAGAGCATGTGTAGTTTTCACCGCAGTTTACACTGACTGAGGACACCAAGGGCGACTGTGATAGTAAGTCAGCAAAACCAAGGAGGGTTGGGAGGCTCTGGTTCACTGGGTGGGGCAGAAGATGGGAGGCCAGGGACCCGCAGCTGGTGTTCAACAAAGGGGACACTCACAGGATTGAACTCTCTGGTCCTGTGGAGTTGGATGCCAAACCCAAATGGTGATGTGAATCCCAAGTGGCTATGCCAGAATTAAATTTAACTATAGGACACTCAGCAGGTGGTAGAGAATTGTTCTGAGTAGAAAAAACAAAGCTTCCAACCTCATATACTTGGTGTCTGTGAAGACACACCACAATTGTTAACTTGATAAGGTTTAGAACCACTAAGGATACAGGCCTCTGGGCACTCATGTAGGAAATTGTCTTGATTAGGTCAGTTGAGGGGAGAAGACCACTGAGGAGGAGCCAGTCCCTGGGTCTACTTCCTGGGTTGCATAATAACAAGAAAGCTGGCTGAGCACCAGAATTCATCCCTCCCCATTTCATGACTGGCATTGGCATGTGACCAGCTGCTTTGACTTCCCTGTCATGATGGATGGCACCTTTGAACTGTAAGCCCAAGCAGACCTTTCTCCCACCAGTTGCTATTGTCAGACTGTTGTAGCACAGCACTGCAAAGGAAGCTAAGATGGTGTCAGACACATCCTTGGTGGAGACAGACCATACCACCATCCATGTTATCACCTTTAACCTCTTTTAATAGCATCTTATCTATTGCTTGTCCCTCCTGCCTTTTTTTGTTTTGGTCAGCTCACACACATACAAAAATAGTTCTCTTTTTCAAGGTTGAAAGATACAAGATCATCTTTAGTTTACTCTCTTTGTAAATATTCACTAGCTTTCCATGTGTATTTATCTCTGCTTTCTGGCATATATTACCCTCTGTGGTCCTAGAAAATAATAGTCAATCCTGTTATTTTCTGGGGAAAACAACAGCATAATAAAAGTTGTCAGTATAATAAATATGCAACAAAGGACAACCAAATCGGATGCACCTCTTTTTATTATCCAGAGGAAAATAAACTGCAGAAAGATTTAGTAGTTCAGTTCATTGGCAATGCAGAGTAAGTACGGCCAATAAAGTACAAAGAGGAAGAAGGAAAGCCTCCCCAAGTTTCACACAGGATAAATAAGGGAGTGAGATGCTGGGGGCCTACAAGTCAAAGAACAACAGCCTGGACTTTCTCTGATAAGCTTGCTGGGGGGTGGGGGGTCATTAGCCGGCTTTCATCTTCTCCCCTGATCAGGAAGAAGAGCACATAGATCCTGGGGCTGCTCTGCCTCCTTCTCATGTTTACCAATGAATGGCAGGAAGTCCCTGGCCTGGGTCTCTGTCACCATCGCTTGTCATGGTTACAGTGGCCTAGCCTGTGGAGCAAGCAGGGTCTTTACAATTTGTGTCTGTGGAAGACTTTGACCTGGGTTATAGTATGCAGCCCCAGGGACCTGGATTAGATGCGTCTCCTTGCTCACAGATGTATCTCTGAGCCTTGGAAAGTCACAGGGTCCCAGTCTGTCCTCAGGAAAATGTAATTGTGACTGATGGCAGTGTCCATTTCTGTGGGCTTTATACAGTGCCAACATGACACTTTTTAAAAAGAAGGGCCATTGTTATTGTTAATATTGACTGAAAACCTGACAGAATCTAGTATAATCAAAGAGACAAGCTTCTGGCCATGCCTGTGAATGACTGTCTTGATTAAGTTAGTTTGAATGGGAACCTACCTGAAAGATGGTGCACTATTACCCAAGCTAGGGTCCTACACTGTGTGAAAAGAAAAAAACAAGATGACTACCAACATTTGTCCCTCTTTTCTTTGTAGGTACAACTACAAATGAGATCCTCAGACAGTGAGCATAAATAACTTCTCCATTAAGTCGCTTTTGTATAGGAATGGGAAAAGTGACTAATAAGAAATGTCTTGGGTAATTCCAAACAGTCTAAGAAGAATATTCAATGTGATGTTTTAAATTCAGTTCCTCCCACTTTGATTAAAAACTAAAAAGGATTATTTTCTCTTACCTACAGATATCATTTTCTGCTTCCTCTAGTCCAAACTGATGGTCAAAGGCCAGTTGTATCCGTGTTTTCTCCTGAGAATGGAGCCGCCATGTGAGGAGCAGGTTCCGGGGATAACTTCTGGGGAAGCGAGGACTCTGCACGTGACCACTGCCTGTCACCTGGATGTTCTCATCTCTTCGGTACAAGTCTGTGAGGTGATTGCTCTCTGTTAGTAATCACAACTTGTAGAAATTAGTATGTTGCTCCAATTACAGGAAAGCAAAAACAACAAAAAGAACAATTTACAACATGACGTCTCAAAGCACTTCATGATTTTGTTTAAAGACATAAGACCAGTGGTTGATTTGGGTCAACAAAAAGTCCGTATTTCTAGTGTGCCTGCTTTCCTAAACTCCTTACAGCTCCCAGTGCCTAATACTTCATATCCTTTGGGTGTTCCTCCATCACTCTTGAGACACGAAACACCCAGTTATCTCAGACCTCAGATTCATTTGCATTGGAATCAAATGAGAAAATAACTTCCAACAGTTCCTCTTTTATCTTTATTATGTTAAACAAATGAAAGGCTTAGCTTAGGTTTAACAGTCTATATAGCAACTACAGGGCCCAACAAATAGTATTGAATAAATGAGTGAAAAAGACAAGTGAAGAGATTCTAATAATATCCAGGACAACTTAGAATTTGTTCAAACAAATAGTTTTAAGTGAATTTTTCTAGTATAAACCCCCAAAATTTGTGACTTAAATAGATCTAATCTGTATTGTATTTTCTGAATGTTTTGTAACAGACAATTTATTTGGTCTTTGTCTTGGGTTCCTGGGAATAGGCTCCAGACCTTTGAAATTCTCAGGTGGTTAGGAGGTTAGGAGTATCATTGTTTTCATGATGGGGCCCCTGGGACCACATCTAAGTTTATTCTCATGGAGAAATTTACTGTGGGGTCTTTAGACAGTTTCAGGATGGACACTAGACACACCAGAAAGGCAATGCGATTAAAGAGGTATTTGCCAAAGTCTAAGGATGGCAGTGGGGCTGGATACACACTCATTGCCACTGGTTCAGAAAACCATGCCTGTGCAATGAGATTCACAGTAAAATCTCTTGTAAGCTTCCTGCTTGTGACACATGCTTCACTGCTGTGGGATGGTCTATATGTCAAATGTGTTGCTGATTGGTCAATAAATAAATCACTGATTGGTCAGTGGCCAGGCAGGAAGTATAGGCGGGACAAGGAGGAGAAAAAACTGGGAAGTGGAAGGCTGAGTCAGAGAGACACTGCCAGCCGCCATGATGACAAGCCGCATGTGAAGATGCCGGTAAGCCACGAGCCATGTGGCAAGGTATAGATTAATGGAAATGGATTAATTTAAGCTGTAAGAACAGTTAGCAAGAAGCCTGCCACGGCCATACAGTTTGTAAGCAATATAAGTCTCTGTGTTTACTTGGTTGGGTCTGATGGCTGTGGGACTGGCAGGTGAGAGAGATTTGTCCTGACTGTGGGCCAGGCAGGAAATCTCTAGCTACACTTCACCAGGAAGTGACATAACCCAGGAACACGTGGAACCTTCCAGGACTTGCCCTCTGGGTCTTACAATTCAGCACACCTAATTTTGGGGTTTTAGTGTTTTCCTTAGTGACTTAGGGCTGTGCACAGGGACTCTTGCGTTAGTAGCTAGCTGGTCGGCAGTGTAGCTATCTGGAGATTTTTCTAAGTGTCTGAAATGAGGGCGGTTTTTAGGGCCTGTACACTTAATCTGTGAAATGACAAGGGTGGATATCAGAATTGCAATGCTGCATGGTGGATATCTTTTGGTATGTTTCAGTATTCAGAGTTCTTGGCATTTTAAAGGTTTCTAAATCCCATAATAAACAGCCCTCCAACCACAGTCTATTTGTACCATCGCACAAAGAATTGCTTTGAGGCCTGTAATTCAAGTGAGCCTGGTGGAGGAAGGCCTACAAGGTGGGGCTGCTGAAGCCAGCTGTTAAAACTTCTAAAATAAGAGAGAGGATGATCAGCAGGTGCTCCTACGTGCAGATGCAAATGGAAACTTTCTTTGGAACGCGCTGGCTGGTTAATGAACTACAGCTTGCTCAGTCAGACCGAGGGAGAAGGAGTCATTCCAGAGAGGAGCAATGTGGCAGCTGAGGAGGCTGGGGTTGCCTCCCTAGACCTAGATGGCCACACTCGCTCTGTAACAGACATCCTCAAAGAGCTGAGACCAAAAAATTCTCCAGATGACCTTCTTCTCCTCACCCTTGACCTTATACTAAACAATCACGTGTAGAGAACTCAGGCAAATGCTGTTTCCTGGGCTGACCAATGTGTGCTCTCAACCAGCCAGCAATTGTTCATCAAATGCAGATGAACTATAACATACCACATCGTATTCAAGCTTACTACTTGAGTACTGTGTTCACAATTGGGCTGTTTTCTTAGATTTGGTATTGTAGATTAATTTTTAAGTGAAATTTATGTTTAATAAACAATAAACTTTTTCTAAAACACAAATTTATATCAATAATGTCAAAAGCCCATAAATATAATATGTCAGGAATAGAAGGAATCATACATCTCAAAAGGCTACTAAATTCTAAAATACATATCTCAGGACTTCAGATTTCTCATTTATGTACTAAAGGGTTTGAGGGAACGTTTCTTTGGTCTTTTGGGGGGGCAATATCCAGTCGTTGCATGCATTATGTGTGTATATTTCCTGTTCCAGATGCTATGCCAGATTTGGGTATAATTCGTAGACACTTGAAGAATAGATTCCATCTTCCTACTGCAAAACAATGTGGAGACTTGGAACACAATGTAAACAAGGCTTAAAGGAATGCTAACAGACAGGTGTTGTCCTGAGGCCACGTGAACTAGGGGGAAGTGAATATAAGATGTGTGCTTGGAGCCGGGCGGTGGTGGCGCACGCCTTTAATCCCAGCACTCGGGAGGCAGAGCCAGGCGGATCTCTGTGAGTTCGAGGCCAGCCTGGGCTACCAAGTGAGTTCCAGGAAAAGGCGCAAAGCTACACAGAGAAACCCTGTCTCGAAAAACCAAAAAAAAAAAAAAAAAAAGATGTGTGCTTGGGATGGCTGCAGAGGCCTGTTCATCACAGTTCAGTTTGACTCTACAGGCTTGAAAGATGAGTTTGGAACCACCTAAGAGACACACTGAAGTGTCTGCACTTGATTTGAGTGGAAACCAGAAAGCTCTGGGAGGAGCAAGTGGTTTGGCAGAAGGAAGATCAACCCACTGGTGGTAAACAAGATGAATGGCAAGAAAAGTGCCGCTGAGGAGCCATCTCCTGGGGGAAAACTGCTACAAAGGTTCTGACACAGCAGGGCAGGGGGCAGTGTAGCCCAGTGTCAAGGGACATACAATAAAGTTCAGAATTCAAAGGAATGGGCCAGAGGCTGCAATGACATGGAAAGATCAGACTCAGTGATAGCCCTATCAGGGTGTTTTGCATTCTTTACTTGCCGCTGTCATAAAATCTCCAGACAAAAGGAACTTAAGGGAGAAATGGATGATTTGGCTCACAGTTCCAGGTTACAGTTCCTCACTGCTGGAATGATAGGAGCTTGAAGCGGGTGGCCATATCAGACAGACAGTCAAAAGCAGAGAGCAATCCATCGCGACAGCTCCTTACAGGCGGGCCTAGAGTCCTGCCTCCTCTGTATCACACTGAAAATTTATCCTAATCATCACACAGGGTGAGTGTGACACTAGGAGTGTGCAAGGAAAGTTTGTTTGAGGATATGCAGGTTCAATGTGATATAGTGAAGAGGAATTCCATTGGAAATGTTGCCAGGCTTGGGGATAGGAGGCTGGGTCCGAGATGAATGAGCAGAGTAGATGTGAGCCTTGAGCTTCCAGAGGAAAGAGTGTGGGTACACTGAGTCCCCAGAACACAAGTATGGTGCCATCCATTCTAAAGCCCCCAGGAGGAAGGTCAAACTCGGTGTGAGTGGATCTGCTTGGGTACTGGGAGACACGAGGCACGCTTGAGGAAACCAGAAGTGTCACGGGAGGGAAACCACATCTGAGCTAAGATGCCCTGCAAAGAGACACTTTCATATGTCAAAGTCCAGGGCCACACTGAGGAAACACTGTAGAACTTGGCAATACTGAAGTCAAGAGCATCCTTTAAAGTCCACATTGAGAGACTTGTGTGAAAGGAGCTTTCTAATACATCTACCTGAGTACGTCATTGCAGGTTAGATTATCTTAAAGATACAAACTGTGGTTATAAATGAAATGTCACTCACATCTGGAATGAGGTGGTGGAGGAGGTGGGTAGAGGAGTTTATCTTTTTATATAATACTTGATTCCAGTTTGGTGAATTTACAGATGGCATTGTATTGAAATAGAGAAGGAAAGTAACAGTTTTCTAAGAGTGTTTTCTTACAAACAAATCTCTTCCAAAATATACATTAATATAAACTCAGTGCAAGTAACAGAAGATTACATCCATGTTTACTTTGTGCCAGATGTTATTTTAAAGTCTTCTCATATAATTTCCAGGGTCAAGTCATTGCTTGTGTGTGTTTTGCTCTGTAATAGGAATTATTAAAACCAACACTGTCATTGTTTGACATATGAGGTTTCTGGACCACAGAGAGGTCAAGTGTCTTGTTCAAAATAGCAGAACTAGTTAAAAGTGTAGTAAGAACAGGAATCCAGACACTCTGCCCCACAGTTGATGTTTATGATGGTGGTGAGACTTGGGAGACATCTGGGGAAAGTGCTTGCTGCATAAACATGGGGACCTGGGTTTGGACTTCCAGCACCCATGTGAAGCCAGGAGCAGTGACATGCATCCATAATCTAGCACTCCAGCGGCAGGTGGAGCTGGAGACAATTCCTGGAGGCTCGTGAATCAGCTATCCGTGTGTATACAGCAATGAATAACAAGTCTGTCTCACACTAGACAAAAGGAGATAATGGATGTCAGTTTGTCCTCTGATCTCAACTTATGTACAGTGATATAGGTAGGCCCGAAACAACCTTCCTTCCAATAAAAATAAATAAATAAATATCAATGAATAAGAGGAAGTGTTCTTTTTAGAGTGAAATTGTTAGAGGCAGTTTTGATTCTTGGCTATTTATAATACACCTTAACTTTTGAAATATATTGTTTACATATAATTTATAACTTCATGCCAACTCAAGGTTACTCTTGGCAGGAGAGTAGCAATTAAT